TTTAATGTAGAATCATAAAGCAAAGAAGATGAAATCTTTTTAAAATAATTTTGCCGTCTGCGGTAGTGTACGCTTCCACTCATAAGCTGATACATTTTCATCATTTCATCATATTTATATAAAATAACTAATAAATCTTTGTCTCTTAGTATAGTTTCTACGCCGTATTTCTTAGCTAGCGTCAACACCACTGCATGCGCATCTCTTACCCTCTCTAGTCTTATGTTTTCTATAGCCAAAGCTCTATCTATTTCAAAACACGACATGCATGCACACACATGCACTATCGTGTGTATAGATGAACACAAACAGCAACAAGGTTTCTCTTGATTTCGATCTTCTGCTGATAAAAATCCAGGAATGTATTTATTAAACTCCTTCTCCATTGCTTCTCGACGGCTTTCTAAGCATCTATGGACAGATGCGTTACTGCATGCACTCATATTACAACCGGTACCACTACTTGCCCCGCTTGCTGCTGCTGCTGCTGCTGCTGCTGCTCCTGGTGGTGCAGCAGCACATCTTGCAGCTGACGTTTCTGCTGGTGTCGCTGCCCCTGGCGGGGGAAAAGGCGAAGCAGTGTCCGGTGTTGCTGCGTCTGCTGCTGCTGCGTCTGCTGCTGCTGCATCTTCTGCTGCTGCATCTTCTGGGGTTGGATCCCGAGGCGGCTCCCCCATATCAGGTGAGACTGAAGGCGGAGGAGACCTTACAAATGACGGCTGGTGGCGACGAACAGGGGGGTTTCCCCTGCTGGTATTTCGCTCTGTATTTGGGGGTTCTGTCCTGTTCAGGTTGCTGCAAGTGCTGCTGCTGTTGCTGCTGCTGCTGCTGCTGCTGCTGCTGTTGGGTTGTCCGGGTTTTTGCATGCATTGGAGGCCTCCAGCTGCATGCGCATGGTCAGCAGCGCATGCAGCGGGGCCGGCGTGCGGCGGCGGGGGGCTTTCTGTTGCCTCGTCTGCTGAAACCCACTCAGCAGGGGCGGGCGAGCCGCGCATAACAACGCTGCCGCCTAAGCTGACAAAGGAGGTCTCTGTGCAGCTTTCCGCCGCCATTTTACGGAGAAATATCTTTCGAAATGCATAAAAAGGAATTCAAGGAGAAAATAAACCGGGATCGGAACGGAAGGAAGCGGGGAAACCGGCAGAAAACCGAAACTGAGAACGCCGCCTTTGAACACGCGACAGCTGAACTACGGCCTCCCGCCGTGGCTAAAGAACT